TATAAAAAAAAATTTACGCTGCAAAAGTTGATTCTATTTTAAACAAAGCGCTAACTCGCGCTGAATGTTGAAAGTTAAACTGGATGTTCAAGCAGTTGCACTAGTTGCAAAAATGAGTGTCTTAAATTATACATAAGTATATTAATTAGGCGTGCGAAATGAGCTGGCGTCAATGTAGCCAACATCGCTTAGCGCGTTAAACTACGCACCAAAAAACCTTTGATGTGTCCAAAAAACCGATACCCGAGCTATCGCTTAACATTTTAATGTCATTAGTAGTAATAGCATTAGTAAGTTAATACGTTAAAATGTTGGCCACATCTACTTAACGTTTTAATTAACGTGCTAATTAATGCGTTAAGACGGAGGTGGAGCAGTAGCATTAAACAAAGACGTATTTCTCTCTTTATTCCACGCATAGATAAATATATATGTAGCAAGCTAATTCTACGTTCTAACAATGACCTGATACAGATCTACGCACGGATGTAAAAAATGTAAAGAATATGAAATGTTGGAAAGGTGTATGCAGTACCTAACAGCACATATTAAACGTATGTAATCTTAAATTACTAATATAAAAGAATATAAATATAAATTGTGCAATTGGATCACCAGCTTTCTTGCAGATCGGAGCATCAAGGACGTGGTAGACGGTTCATGCTCCGACTACAAGCCTATTAACGCTGGTGTTCCACAAGGCTGCGTGCTATCACCAACGCTGTTTCTTCTGCATATCAATGATATGTTGCAAACCGGTAGCATTCATTGCTATGCAGATGACAGCACTGGTGATGCTCTTTACATTGGCCGTGCCAATATTTCTAGGGAAAACGTCGCCGAGTACCGGAACAAACTTGTGTCTGAAGTCGTATCTTTGCTGAACAAAGTCTCGGATTGAGGGCGACTAAATCTAGTCCAGTTTAATCCTCAGAAGACACAAGTTTGCGCGTTTACCACTAAAAAGAACCCCTTTGTCGTATCTCCTCAGTTTCAAGGCACTACCCTTGTTGCCTCAGCCAGTATAGGAATCCTCGGCGTCGACATATCGAGGGACGTGCAGTTTTGTGGTCACTTGGAACAGAAGGCCAAATTGGCCTCTAAAAAAGCTTGGCGTGCTCAGCAAAGCGGGACAGTATTTCATACCGGCACAACGCCTGCAACTTTACAAGGAGCAGGTTCGACCTCACATGGAATACTGTTCCCATCTCTGGGCTGGGGCTCCCCAGTGCCAGCTCCTTCCACTTGACCGCATCCAGCGCAGAGCGGCTCGAATCGTCGACGACCGAATCCTTTCCGATCGGCTCGATTCATTGGCGCTGCGAAGAGATGTTGCATCTCTTTGCATTTCTTTCGCATTTACCACGGGGAGTGCTCTGAGGAATTGTTCGGATTAATCCCAGCGGCCAAATTTCACGAACGCACATTGCGGCAGAACTCCCAATACCATCCACACCATCTGGATGATTGGCAGTCCACCACTGTGCGATTTAGAAGATGTTATCTTCCTCGCACAACTTCCTTGTGGAATAGTTTACCACCGATACGACTTAGGGACCTTCAAGAAAAGAGCCTACTCCTTTTTAAAAGGCCGACAACGCATCTGCAATTCCCCTGGTTCCCCTGGTGTTGCGGTTGTTCATGGGCGGCGGTAGTCACTTACCATTAGGAGAGCCGTATGCTCGTTTGCCCCCTCTCCTATAAAAAAATATATAAAAAAGTGGTGGTATGTTGTCATGTCACGGTTCTCTGAACAATGTTATATCGGTGTTAGAGCCTATGGAGCATTGAAGAGTGTTTAACGACGATCGCAGGAGACCCAACGACTGAAGACTTTGGTCAGTTGGGAGAGACTTAAAGCGCTAGTGTGAAACGCTACGTGCGTAGACACTTTGGCAACCTCTCATCTTAGGGGAACCTCGTTTAGAGTCGGTGCGGCATCCGAAGCGGCTGAACTAAATAAGTAACTCGTAAAATAACAACTCAGAGATGACTAGCTACACATAAATATACAATAGTACAATATTTTCTATAGAGACTATCGGTCCGTGGGGTCCACGTGCGCAAATTTCCTGAAGGAACTATATCCGCGACTACAATCGCTTTTTATACAAAATGATTTTGTTTTCCCGCAATAATTACATGTAGATTTAATAAAAATATTTTAACGTAGCTTTTTTTTCTAGACACAGCTAACGTTCCGGTGAATGCACTCCGCTTAGACTCGGGTCTTATACCACTTATACTAAAAAAATAATTTGTTGTATAGGTAAATAGTCGCTTGCGTATACTCGTAATTCAAGGATTGTAAACACTTTTCGATTTCGCACGCAATTAAATTTTGTAATAACCCTAAAAGTTATGAGAAAAATTAGTAATATTGCTTCATTTTCTTCCCACACTGATTCGAGAATATGTTCTTAGTTGTGAGTAACGTATATATAATGATCATTGTTACAGATAATTGTTATCAAAGTTAATTTAAAAGCGAGCATACAACATTAAGAAGACATTAATAATAATAATAGCCTCAAGGCTGGCATTATTATTATTATAGACTAGCCATCCAGGAGACTAGCCATCGGCGCAGGACAGGACTCTATTCCCTCAGTCTCATAGTCCGATGGGACGGTATACCGACACGACCTGACAGAGATCAGGCGCAGAACCAACGGCTTTACGTGCTTTCCGATGCACGGGGGTGAGACACCGCCAACTTCCTAACTCCGGGCAGCTACTGAGAATTTCTTGACGGAAAAACTCAATAATTGTTTTTTTTGGCCCGACCTGGTATTCGAACCCGGAACCTCATGATCGCAGTCGTGTTTACAACCGCTAGACGAACGAGGCAGACACGTAAGAAGACATTAAAATATTTCTTAAGTACTCTGGCCCTAGATTACTTAATAGGTTTTAAAGGTATTCAAGAGTATACTTTTTCTACCTAGGTGTTCGCCCGGATAGGCACCACACTTACTTTTTTCTAGGGCCAAACAGCAATGCCTGCACTCCCGTGTTCCGGTCTGCAGATATAGAGAGCCATGTCAGGCGGTGAAGCATTTCATACATACATAAATAACGTCACGCCTGTAATACCCGAAGGGGTAGGCAGAGTCTTAAGAGCAGGGAGATTCTCAGACCACATATAAAGTTTGTATATAGTTGGCTGCATATATAAGTAAGCTGTAGCCATAAGTGGCCACTGCAGTATGTGGACATCTGTAGGACTAGTAAGTTCGTAGGTCATTTCAATGATAAAAAATGTTTATCACTATTTATTTAGTTAAAATAAGCTAGATATAGAAATATCTAACGCTATGTCAAGTGTGAGATGTTTGAAACAGCAAATACTTCGACTTAAGTATAATAATATTTATTATATTAATTGCCGATTAAATCGATCATGATATCCGTAGTGATTGCAACTTCAAAAACGAACAGTATTTAACTATTTTAAAGATTTCGAACGCGAGATTTTGCGATGAAAGTGAAAGAAGTTCATAATCAACATAAAATGTATTGTGTTCCTTTTATAACATAAATATATTATAATAAAATGTAACTAACCACTGATTTTCTTTCTACTTTTAAATACCTGTTTTATAAGTAACAGGCTGACTGGCGATCATAGTACCATTCGTCTTTCACCTTTAACGCTGAAGCCCATCAGCAGTCTGGGTATTTTCTGCCGACTTCCAAAAAGGAGACCGTACTCAATTCGACTGTATCTTTTTTTTTATGTGTGTTACCTCATAACTTTGTACTGGGTGAACCGACTTTGATGATTCTTTTTTTATATGAAAACTGATAGTTCTCGTGTGGTCCCATATAAATTTGATAAAAGGTCAGACCAATAGATTTTGAGTTATTCTTAAATAACTTATATTGAAGTCGGCTGTACAAAATTTTAAATTTTAAATTATAGTTATGCGTGAACGAGATGGTATGGATGGTGGTGATTACCGTGTAGTGGCAGTGTAAGGATATCCACTACCCCATATCATCCCGTAGGTGTCGTAAGGGGTGACAGAGGGAACAAATTAGGAGATGGGCAGCAGCGTCTTACTAATAACGACTAAATACGAGTATACTCGTACGATATATACGAATACTCGTATAAAAACCCGCTCGCAAATTGTAGTAAATAAGATGTATTTTAAATAACAGTAACATTTTTAAATTCATTAATAATAAATAACCATCCTTAGGTATGGCACCGCCGACATCTGTCGAGCTTGTCGCCATCCCGATGAGTCAATTAGGCATGTCATCTCTGGTTGTTCTGCGCTTTCTGACTCACAGGCGCAAACTAGTAGCCAGGATTTTACACCAGGCGCTCGTTCTGAAATACAGTCTCGTGGATCAGAAACCGCCTTATTATAAGTACTTGCCGGTAGCCGTGCTCGAAAATGACCGCGCCTGGGACTGGGCCATCATCACAGACAGGACTATTCTTGCGAATAAGCCTGATATTGTGCAGAAGGACCGGGCACAGTCAAAGATATTTTTGATCGACATCACCATTCCGTGTGACGAGAACCTCGTGAAAGCTGAAACAAATAAGCAAACAAAATATCTGGACCTGGCTCACGAGGTGACCGACATGTGAGGTGGTCTGCCGACCGAAATTATTCCTGTAGTCGTGTCTGCGAACGGGCTAATCCCGGTCAGCCTCTTGGGACATTAGGCGATTAGGACTCCATGACGGACCGCTTCGTTCGCCGGTTTCTTTCCTTTTCCCTCTAACCCTCGGCCGTTTGGCCTCCCCTGACGAGAGCTTCCGTTTGGGATTTTATTTATTTATTTATATTAGTATATTTAATATATATTTATCATTTCCTTTTACATATTTATTCTGCCTAACCAGATGAGATTATTCAATAAATATCCTACGATAGTATGTGCCCCTTCCAGATTAGACAGAGTTTTCCTTACACATCGTACATCAGCCGAACTTTTATGTTATAAACCAGCTTTGAGCAATTTAATAGTATCAATCATTGTTCCTCTTGAATTTTTTACAGAAAAACAGCGTATTGACGTTGTACGTATCGATGGCAGTGGCAAGTATCAGCTTACAACGTAGCGGCTGGTTGCAGCGCGTCGTGCAGTATCACAAGAACAATTTCTTAGCCGATTTACATAAATTGCCGCCGGTGCAAATTAAAGGCCAGTGAAGTTTAATGAATTCAAAGTACATAATTATTCTAGAAATGATAACTCACCTAAAGATTTATTCGACTGTGGCCTAGCTGAATTGTAATTATACTATATATGTTTCTGTACGCATAACTCCTAAATACTTAGTTGTTAGATTTTTCCAAATTGGTTTGGTTACAATAAGGATTTTCATCAAAGTCCACTCCTGAACATGGGCCTCCCCCATAGATTGCCTTATAGAGGGGATTTTGCCATTGTTGTCACGATTGTTAGGCGGGTCAACTGGCCTGCGAGAGAAAGAGATATGCAGTATACAGTGTTACCTTTTTTATAGAATATGGGTAACAAACGAGCGCACAGTCCACCTGATGCTAAGTGGGTGCTGTGACCCATAGACATCCACATCTTTCCTCAATAAAGAATCAAAATGCAGATGCGTTGTCATCCGTGAGGACTAAGATGGAATGCCTTTTTTCCAGTAAAAAGGGTCTCCGGTTCTCTACACTCACCATACGAAACACAGCAACATTAAGCTGCTATTTTACGCTGGTATTCTGTGAGAGCGTGGTCCTTCCCCGGTCGAGCCGACCCATTCGTGCTACAACTATACTACTAATCTCGCTGCAGCATAGCTCTACCACGTAAAAACGTTTTTATTACTCGTATATTGAATTGTTATCAGGAAGATGCTGTTGCTAATTTCTGTGTTTATTTCCCTCTTGGCCTCTTATGAAACCTACGGGACCATATGGAGTAGTGAATACATCTTACACCGCCACTACACAGTTTTAATTCCTGAGTGAAGTAGACTCTGCGGTGGCTGACCGCTAAGTCAGGTGATGGTGACGGTGATAGTGCACACAACTGAGGGAGGGCGGGATGTTCGCTAGAGTTGAGCTTAATTAATATGACCCAACCGTTTAAATGAACCACAAAACTTACTTAAAGTGAAATAAGCAAATGATATTTTAATCCAATACTCAATAAGCTAAAAACTTATAAACAATATTTTGCTCTGATTCCTTTTAATTGCTGACGATTCGACTTATGTGGCTCGGGCAGCATTATGCTTAGTCTATCCTTTTTGTTGCTAGCATCCATTATTATTAATGTTTTATTGTTTTGTTTTGTTTGTAAGATATAATATGTTTTGTAAAAGCAAGTTGCAGCAACGAATAAAAAAAAACATATGTGCAGTTCACACACGGTACAAGTGAAATCATTTGTTATTCATAATAAATTATTATTAATTAATTTTTTTGTTATTAATTTACTGAGATCGTGATAAAAGGTATATTATACTTATATAGGTTTATACGTTGCAGCGCCATGTTGCAGCTATATTATGGTTGTAGCACGAATGGGTCGGCTCGACCGGTGTAGGACCACGCTCTCACAGAATACCAGCGTAAAATAGCAGCCCAATGCTGCTGTGTTTCGTATGGTGAGTGTAAAGAACCGGAGACCGTTTTTTCTGTGAACGAGGCATTCTATCGTAGTCCTCAGGGGCGACAACGCATCTGCATTTTGATTCCTAATCGAAGATAAATGTAAATGTCTATGGTCCACAGCATCCTCTTAACATCAGGTGGACTGTGCGCTCGTTTGTTACCCCCATTCTGTAAAAAAGGTAACACTGTATACTGCATATCTCTTTCTCTCGCAGGCTAATTCCTATAGATGTACCTACATGTTTGTCTCTTTTTATTGTCGCTTTTTCGTTTAATCGTAATTCAAATCACAACGATTGTAAAGGAATTTTCACTTTAAATATATTCTTTGAATTTATTTAGCCTCAATCGAACGCGCTCCCTACGGCTACGTGGATCCGGACACCTGGGACTATGACTCGGTGCTGCGGCTGCTGGGAATGCTGCAGCGGAGCGAGGGCGCAGCCCCCGTGTTGCAACATTTACGCAGGACGATGTTTAGCCGACGGTTTATGTCGTTCGGAGACACATTTAAGGCGTTCCCCAGTCTATCCAAAGTAAGTAATTAGTGTAAGTAAGTAAGTAGTTAGCCTCAAAAATATCCGACAGATGGCGAAATGATATTTGTTTTGAACAAACAAATAAGAGTGACAAACAAGCAAACAGTATATCTGATAGTCAGTTTTTTTTGTTACAGAATAAGGGTGACAAACGAGCACACAATCCACTCCTGGCTTGGCTCCCTCTGTCACCTCTTACGACACCCTCAGGACGATACGGCGTAGTGGATATTATTACAGTAGTATAAATGTAATTAATCTACATTTATATTTAGTACTTAACATTATCACATCTTTACAGAACCATGCAAACTATATGTATTACGACATAGAGTCGGAGGAGTATGTTGCAGAGGCTACGACAGCGACAGATATGCCCAGCGAGATCACCGACAACTCCATAATTGTCATCTCCAACCCGACTGAGGCGCGTCTGCCAGCTGCACAAATCAGTGTCAAGCTACTCAGGTCTTCCGATCTATTTTGCTTCATTTGCCTAATAATGTTAATAATGTTCGCGGGATTTTAAAAAAAACAAGTTTTGTTGATTGGAGAGGGGGGGGGGGTCGGCTCCTCGCAGTGTGGTAGCGGCGCAAAAAAATACCACCCGCTACTTTAGCACCATGAGGCAAAAAAGTTACGAAATGGCCCCGAGTTCCCGGCGCACCTTTAATGGGGCAGGGATGCAAAGAATCTCCGGGAGGAAAACCGACGACGAGGTTCGCCACCCGTTACCTTCTGCCACCGGAAGGGCGAAAAGTGGATTGCGGAATGTATATGGAGCAATTAATAATAAGATGGATTAGGTATGGAGGATGTACGATAGAGGTATGGACGTGTTATGTGTAAATGAGGCGAAACGGCAGGGAAATGATGCCACCACACATGGCATGTATACCGCGTACTGGTCTGGTGTAGACGAGACCGAACGGGCATGTCAGGGAGTCGGTATCATCCTTTCAGAAAGAATGGGTCATTGTGTGAAAGAGTATGAATGTGTAAGCCCGAAACTGCTATGGATGGATACGAATGAAAGTGGGCTAAAAGAAGTTGTTTGTTCTAGGGATCTACGCCCCAGACATGTCTAAGCCCACTTATATCCGAGAGCAGTTTCGGGAGTTGGTAAGGATGGTGCTAATGAAATGCAAGATTAATGAAAATATTGTGATATTAGGAGATTTTAATGGAAGGGTTTTGGTGAGGAGGCTTGGTTATGAAAGGATATTGGGAACGTTTGGTGATGAAAGAATAAATGAGAATGGTGAAAGCCTCCTCACCGTATGTGTGGAAAAGAATCTTTTTGTGACGAACACTTTCTTTCGCCATAAGAAGATTCACACGTGTATATGGGAAAGAGGTGATGATAGAAGGATGATAGATTTCATAATTGTGGATGAAAGAATGAGGAGAGTGGTGGTAGATACAAAGGTTTACCGGGGGTCCAACGTAGGGTGGGACCATTACTTGGTCTTATGCCGAATTGAGGGTCTTTTCAGACGTTGGCGACATCGGACATCTGTGTCTACTACTGCGTTACAGCGTATAGGAACAGAGAGGTTACAGGATGAAGAAGTGAAAGAGAAGTTCAAATGTAGACTGAGAGAAAATATAAGTGGTATGGCTGAATTGTGTATGAATGATTTAGACTTGGAGACTGTGTGGTATAATGTCAAGAAAGGTTTAGTGAATGTAACTACCGAAGTATGTGGTGTAAGTAAGAGAACGAATGAAAGGAAAAATATCACGTTATGGTGGGATGATGAGGTACGGATGGAAGTTGAAGCAAAGAAGAAAGCATGGCCAGATTTACTAGCAACCAAGGCTAGTAATTCTAGTGGTAGTAATTTTAATTTGAAGATGATTGACTGATTTTAAGTTATATTTTTATTAAAGGTTTTGATTTTAGTATCTTGTTTCTCAGAATCATACTTTTTTGATCTCTTTAAAGTTTAGAAATTTATTTTAAATTCCTTAATGTTGCATAATTTTTAAGTATCATTACTTAATTTAATATTAAGAATTATGTTTTCTTTCGAGCAGTACTTTTTTTTACGTTAATTAATTCTAAGAAATATTTGATCTCATTTAATGTCTTATGAGTACAATTTATCTTATATTCCTTACTTTAAGTATTGTTTGTGCAATTTAATTGCACCTTACTGACATAGTTTTTAAAAATGAAGACTGTTTTGAGTAGTAAATCTCAAATAAATACTTTTAATTACCATCAATATTTTTAATTATTCTTTTCTTTGTCTATAAATGTCAAATATTAGGTCATATAATAATAAAAATGTCTCTTGGACAATTATTTATGTCTCTTAGACAACTGTTTTGTCCCCAGATTCAGGATTAACAAAATCTTCATGTTTTAAATAAAAACGGGAAAAAAAACTTAATACTTATTACAAAATATGCTTAATAGTATTTAGAAAAATATCTTCAATTATGTTTTTCTACATTATACGTATAATTTTATGCTTTTACTAAAACTTCTTTCTTTTATGTAAACGGTAGTCGTCCAAGATAGTCAATGCAGTACTGATAATTCAGTGCTCTAGAATAATATTTTACGTAAAACTTCACAACTAGACTGTTTATTTGAAATTTTAATCTATCCAATTGCAGAGAGGTGTAAGACAGGGTGACCGACTAGGTAAGTCCAACTTTGACCCAGAGGTCAAATGACGGATTCAACTCGGTTGGGCAGCGTTCGGAAATTATGGCATATCTTCTCGTCAGGTTTACCTGAAAACTTGAAAACGAGACTGTAAAACCAGTGCGTGTTGCCAGTGATGACCTGTGGAACTGAGACGTGGTCCTTCACTGCTGGCCGGATGAGGAAGCTCAAGATCGCTCAGCGAGCTATGGAGAGGGCTATGCTCGGAGTTTCTCTGCCTGATAAACTTAGAAATGAGGATATCCGCAGAAGAACCAGAGTGACCGACATAGCCCAACGAATTAGTAAGCTAAAGTGGCAATGGGCCGGCCATATAGCTCGAAGAACCGACAACCGATGGGGAAAAAGGTTCTCGAGTAGCAGCCTCGTACCGGCAGGCGAAGTGTAGGGCGTCCCCCCATTAGATGGAGTGAAGACCTGGTAAGATATGCAGGAAGTCGATGGATGCAGGTGGCTCAGGACCGTGCTTTGTGGCATTCCTTGGGGGAGGCCTATGTTCAGCAGTGGACTTGTGAAGGGCTGTATTGCTGATGTTAATGATGATATACTTATTCTGTTTTTAATATTAAATAATATCTACACGCATTTTAAGCAGCACACTTACATACGAATGTATTATATTTTAAATAGAAAGGTTAATACATAACCCAACCCATGCATAAGCAGAAGAAGTGAGGCACTGAAAGAAGAAAGGTAACGATCAACAAATTGATGGATAATAAAGCAGATAGTTATTATTATATTATTCCTTAGTAACCAATATCGGTTAAACGAAATAAGCACAGTTCACGAGGGCCAGTCTTGATGACTTTGGTCGTAGGCAAATTACATATTAGAATAAATTTTAATTATAGAAAACTTATATTTAATAATAAAAAAAATTGTATTTCATTACCACAAAGCTCGCTTTGTTCTCTATACAAAGTGTTTATTATTTACTAGCTGTGCCCGCGGCGTAGCTCGCGTATACAGGTCTTACATAAAGAATTTGTCGTTTAGGTAAGAGAATATTAAACGATTTATTTCATTACTGTATCAATAAGTGGTAACTAAATAAATCATTATCATCAAAGTTCTAAGTCGTTTATGATAGAGCTTCTGTGTAAACTACGTTAGAAGTAGGCTTAGCCGGGGTGTACACAAAAAGGTTATGGGGGCTACTAACGCGGGAAAAAGCAACATAGAGTTGGCCATGTGCAAAACAGTCAGTACTGAGGTACACTCCTACAACGCGTAAAGTTTGACCTTGCGCTTTATTTACGGTCATCGCATAACATAAACTCACTGTAACTGGGAACTGAACGCGCTTAAAACTGAAAGGAAAGTTACTTCTTAATAGAGGGTTTTTGGGCAGTGCTGCCAGATAAAAAAAACTCATTCAGCTTTAGGACAACACAAAAAGCGCTAGATGTCATGAAAACAGCGCTTTAAAAAAGCCCTAGATTTCGCTACAAACAAAGTTTGTGTATTTTTATATAATCATAATAAAGAAAACAACATTAAGTTTTTTTTCTGGCAATATTTTTTTGATGTATCAATACTTCGCAGGACATCGACTTATAATTATAGCAATTGCTGTCAACAGTAGTTAGTACTGTACGAACAATAAAAATGTCATTAATTGTTTTAAAGTGCAATGTATTTCGCAACTTAGTTTCAGATGTCAGCATCTGATTGCGGTTGCTACACAGTTTCTTTGTGTTATAACTTCTAAGTAACTTTTAACTTAGCTGTGCTCTAAGCAACTGACTGAAACTGAATAAAGCAAAATAAATGCGTTGCCAAAACCATGAACGAAAACTTTAATAAAGGGGATTTCCCCGCTTATAGTCGTCGGTAAAAAAATCAAGTTGATCATCCTAAAGGGGAAGCCAGGAGATCCATAGCACAGGGTATCCTAGTTTGGACTCGTCTCCCATGCTCTTTGCTTTGTGGAAAAAATATGTTTGAAAAAGATAAACTGCAATGTACTATTTGTGGGAAAAAATAATAAAGGTCATTATTATTATTATCGGTAGTGTGGACTAACAGTGCTGCTATAAAAGAGTTAATAACCCGCTAGTCGCTAAAATATTGAAATGTGTGCTAAATACACCAAAAAGCGCTGGATTAAGCGCTAGATGCTAAAATTTCGAAATGCGCGCTATACATTCCAAAAAAGTGCTAAATCTAGTTCCCAACCGGTTAAATTGGCAGTTCTGATTTTGCGTATATTATAAATACAATATCACGACATTTCGTTGCGAAATTTTTATTTTTGGTCGGGTTCCGTTGTATGGCTTCGATGGATACAAATTTCTTCAGTAAGTCTCAATAGAAAGAAAGAAAGAAAGAAAGAAAGGTTTATTCTCCAAAATGACACCATCACAGGTAACATAAAAAAGAAAACATAAATAATATTGGCTATACAATACAAATTACAATATACTACATAATATACAAACTATACAATACCAATACTCATATGTGTCAAGGCGTCATCTACGATACGATACATCGGCGAAAAATCTCAACACAGCAATTCAGAAAAGTTTGTAATTTGTACAACTCCATCTATTACGTCCTTTGTGTGAGAAAACATCCTATCTCTTTTTGTGTTTTAAGTATAAATATATTAATTATTATGGAACGTTTTTTATACACAGAAATCTTTTTATTACTATTTCTGAGATTTTATGGCGCCATTGAACAAATTCCAACCTACATTTCAAAATAATAATCATTACTTTCGATAGAATTAACCAATTTTAATAAAACATTGCATTGCATTTTCACAACACTACCATCTATCGAAGAAATGGGTTAACTATTGTGCTTCAGATTTAGTTAATAACGTTAATATATTTTTGTATAATATATTTAATACGTTCTTTATTACTTTTGTTTACTGCGTTTTAGATATATATAATTATATCATTATTTTACATAATTTAACTATAATTTATGATATGATATTAGTTTAAAATGCACTTGATGACTCAAACAAAGCCACCGTTGAGCAATTACTTCCCTACCCATACTTCAGAATATTTATCATAACTTTTGATGGAATGAACTGATTTTAATGAAATAAAGACTAAATGTAACCCGAAGATACACTTTATAATTTCCTTAACAATTCTTATGATATAAATTAGTACTTTATACGTGATACGTTAACAAACAAACAGACAGACAGACAGACAGACAGACAGACAGAAAATTCTAAAAATGGTAGAAATGTATTTAATTACTTATTTTTAGTACCCCTTAATCACTTTTATTACAAAAATATTAAATGTACAGACATCTGCTATTTACAGTTTTATTATATGTATAGATATAGAGCTCCTAACTGGGGGGACATCTTGTAAAATGACTCTTAGCAGTTAGTTTTTTTTTGCGCCCAGAAGCAATTGGAAAAAGGGCTACCCCAATATGCAGGGAGGCGATAAATGCTTTATGCATACCACGACAGCCGGTCTGTCGTGGTTATCTGGGACTCACTGTATCTAACCTAAAGTGGAACCTAGGTGCTACCCACTAAATACCGCCTCTGGGACTGACAATTGGCCGATTAAGCCGCTTTGTCGGATCGGAAGCGACCCTCTTTTGGGAGAAGAGGGCGCAATTAGTAGTTAGCTGCAAACAATACCTATTATACCTAATTAAACATTTACCTAAAAAAATAATTAAAATCGGGAAAAGCGCAAAGCGTTTTTTCACGATACAGAACTGTCTGTCATTTTTGGCGGACTCGGATACAGACTCGAATCAATTGCTCGACCGATTTGCATTTTGTATGAGGGCGAGCGAACCGTGTTGGTAAACAAATCCGAAATAACACAATTATTATTATTGTAATTTTTAAGTTCAGAAGGTAATGCTTTCTTCTTTCTTTCTTTCTCTTTGTAAATTTAACGCGGGAGATCTTTTATTGCACAAACAAAAAAACTGAACAATGAGGCATTTTGTACGACATCGACTCAGCCGTGCAACTAGATTTAGTCTAGTGAGCAGCTGAGTAGTGCGATTGCAACTAGTTTTATTGTATGCATGCGTATGGCCACCCCACTCCGACCGCCGGTGGCCCGTGTTGCTTGCTCTATGTCTATGGAATAGACATATAGAAACAGAAACTTTTTTATTCACTCAATATTATGGTTATATATACCTATTATTCAATTTTAAATAATATTTATTGAGAGTCACTCTTATGTTCGTAAAATACCTCTGTCTTGGTTCTTTTAACTAAGTATTATTTATTCTGTGGTCTTGGGAAGAATCAGCAAGAAACCCACCCAAACCCAACCCAACCCAGCAGTTTACTTTATATATTATGTTTCACAATTAACAACACAAAAAAATTAGAAATAGCTTGTTAGCGATCACCTTATTCCCAGTAGTTATTATCATCCGTAAATTCCTTAATATTATACACATTTTTGTACAAACATTGTAGGACCTTCTCCTTTTTTAAAGTTGGTTAATAATCACTAATGAGCGCCGCAGTGGCAGAAAAAGAGATTAAAATAGAAAAAATGTTTGTCGTTAAAAATTTTGAAATTTCCTACTATGGTTACTGATCTACTCGCTCTTAATTGATTATTACGATTCACTTGCAGGGAAATATTAGAGGCAAGAGCAGCAGCGGCGAGATACATGCCGACCACGCGGTGGACCATGTGAGTGTTTTGCAAAGAGTATATTATAAATTATAATCATATATTTTGCTCGTTTTATACAATACATAATGATGTTTATAGCATCACTTAAATATTTTAATCAAACTCATATCTTACAAGATCAAAATCAGAACCACTACAACTAGTGGCGTACCTACCCAGGGGCTAGGCGGGGCAGTGCCCCGAGGCCCCCAAACTACAGGGGCCCCTCAGCCTCCAAGAACGAAATTCGATCAAAATTATGTACTATCCTAGTCGTATAAAGAATTTTCGAGTTTTAACTTTTTGGCCCCTGTCCGAACGGCTCGAATTGCAGTCACAAAAATTACTCCAACTTCCAGAACATAAATAGAATAGTGTCTACTTCGTCTTACTGTCTTATTTATATAGAAGAGAGGGACAAACGAGAATGCGGCTCACCTGATGGCAAGTGTCGACCACCGCCTATTAGCAAATACAACCTCAGCGGAATTGCAGGCACGTTGCCGACTTTTTAAAAAGGAGTAAGCTCGTTTCTTGAAGCTCCCTAAGTCGTATCGGTGCGTCAGTGGTGGTGGACCGCCAAACATCAGAATGATGTGGATTTGTGAAATGGGTTGATGACATTTTGTGGCTGGAATTAATCCGAACACTTCTTCTGAACACTCCCCGTGATAAATGCGCTAGAAAATGCAAAGGGATTCAGTATCCCTTCGCAGCGCCAGTGAATCGAACCGATCAGAGAGAACTCGGTAGTCGAACTCTAAATTCACGACAGTATTTAAAAATGTAGGTACTATTGGTTATCGATCACTCGCAAAATCGGACCTGACCGTGTTAGACTGACCGACATTAGAGCGAGAAAGAAAGTTAATATTAATTCAGTCCGAATTGCGCTATTACTTTTTATTAGTTTGTGATCCGAATAGAAATAACCGCACACTACCACATGACCGAACTATAGTATGAATTAAACGTATGAAATCTCTACCGGCTAAAACCCAACGGTGGTCACCACCAGCATATACGAGGGGTCCTAGGATCTCTGGGGTCCCCTAGTCTCAGAGGATAACCACCGACCTACTATTTTTTCTATATTTTTTAAAGTATTGCATCATTTATTATTAATCGATAGCAACATGATCGGAGCATCAAGGTCGTAGTAGATGGTGCATGCTCCGATTACAAACCCATTAATGTTGGTGTTCCACAAGACTGCGTGCTATCACCTAAGCTGTTTCTTCTGCATATCAATGATATGTTGTAAACTTTTTTTTATAGGAAAGGGGGCAAACGAGCGTGCGGCTCACCTGATAGTTAGTGACTACCGCCGCCCATGAATAACTGCAACACCAAGGGAAGTAGGCTCTGTTCTTGAAGGTCCCTAAGTCGTATCGGTCCGGAAAAATCGCTGGTGGTAATCGATTCCGCAAGGAAGTTGTGCGAGGAAAAAAACTTCTTCTAAATCGCATAGTGGTGAAACGCCAATCATCCAGATGTTATGGATGATATCGAAAGTTTATCGCGATGTGCTATGGTGAAATTGATCGGCTGAAAAATATCGATCGCTGTAGAAAAATATTTTCTACTAGAAATACAAAATATTCTAAAAACCCAATTTGATACATACTTGACCTTACCTTGACCAAGGTAAGATATTATTATTTTTTATAATCACAGATTTTTATTACAACATTTTGTTTCGCTAAAAGTACGCAGGATTTATATATAAATATACTTATACGTCATGGACTTAATGGAGATCTGAAGATGTACTTCGGTATCTGCTACTGGAACTCCTCGACAAGTAGAACTAGTTGTGCCGAGATTGTGCTTGTTATGTTAGTTATGACGGGTCCTTACCTCCGGACTTGACGGAGTGACTTGAAGGTGAACTTCGGTGAATGCTACTGCAACTCCTCGAATAGTAGTAATAGTAATAAGTATGGGTTTGGGCTCGTTTTATTAGTTATGATGAGACCTTTCCTTCAGACAGTGGCGGATTATCCTTAAGGCAAACTAGGCACGTATCTAGGGGTGCAAGGTTAAAAAGGCATGCCCGGAAGATTTTAAACGAAAAAAAAACGTATTTTATCACTCCTAAATGGCTCTTACTCTCTCCTCACATTTTTAATTTATGCCCCCCTGTTAAAGGTAGTCGTATCCTAATTATTTTGTTTATTTGCAAAATGAGCAGATTTAATTTATAATAGATATAATATGGCTCCTAGAAGGGCGCCGATGAGGCGCCTGTATGTAGGCTAGCCTAGGGCACAGTCGACATAATCCGCCTCTGCATTCGACTCGATAGAGTGATCTGAAATTGTACTTCGGTGAATGCTACTGGCACTCCTCGAAGAGTAGAAATAGGTGTGCCGAGTTTGGCCTAGTTTTGTTAATGATGAGACCTTACCTCCCGACTTGACAGTGATTTGAAGGTGTACTTTGATGACTGCTACTGGAACTCCTCGACGAGGAGAGTTAGATGTGTCGAGTTTGGGCTCGTTTTGTTGGTTATGAATAGACCTTACCTCGGACTTGACGGAGTGACTTGAAGGTGTACTTCGGTGACTGCTACTGGAACTCTTTGACGAATAGAACTACAATTTATATATTTTTTTAATTTTTTCACTATCATATGAGCATTATGAGTCGTATTCATTATTATTGAAATTATCTTGCCAAACTGCAATCAGTGCGTCGGCTAGTACACGCTCTTATAACTATATATTATTAGGCACCATACACCTACAATACCAATAAAATTAATTAAAAAAAAAGAAATAATAATAATCAAAGCAGTTAAACAATATAAAAAAAGCTCAGTTAATTAATAATGACTTTTTTAGAGAGGACTTTAATAAAACTACTTAATTTATTGTTTGGAGACGTTTCGCTTTTTTTTGTATTACATTATATAATATATTTTATAATATTATATTATATAAAAAATATAATATAATATTATAAAAGATATTACTATATTTTGTTATAAATTTCGTCTAAGTTGCTGTGCAGCGAAGGTGCGGCGGGGAAAGGCTGTAGATTCTGCCACTTTGTAACATAATATAGTAACATCGACACTTTTAATACGGTAACGTAGAAGTAGGAAAAGTAATGAATAATGATTGTGAGGCTGATTTCATAATGCGCTATTTTTAGCGTGAAAGTTTAAGTCAAGAGTTGTGCTTGGACCACTAACTTCAGTCCGAAATGTATACTAATATAATTCGACAAATGTGTGAGGTTCAACTCTTCAATAGCAGAAAAATGTGAGCAGTGATGGATGAAGGTAATATTCTTTAGAGGCTTCCTCCCGTTGAACCAGTGTGTATAAGCAGTCAAAATTCGGGACATTATTTTTTCTTTTGAAAAGTGGCAAAATCTACGGCCTACCTAGCTACGGTTCTATATATCGCAAGCCTAATCGTCTTTCTTTTTTGAATGTATATTAACTAAGCTATCTTATTAAACTGAGCATTGAGTATGATATTTTAATTCTTCATTTATATAATTTCTTTGTAGACGCTGGAAGCCGATGAACAAAACTACCAGTACTACTCCAGTTGGAACTGAGACGGATGGGGGAAGCACCATAGTTACCCTTACGTCAGTCGAGCCAGCTAGCAACAGTAACGTATCAGCTTTTTAATAAAAATATGCCGAGAGAAGACAATCTCCATCAAAATATCTGCGATAAAAGCCTTTAGAAAAATTTACTTCGCAAATATCCAAAATATTATACTCTTCGACAAAACGGCGTTTATGTGGCGTTCAAAACAAACAATTCTCTAAGAAATATCTGTAATAATAAAGATAAGTTGGATATTCGTCAAAAGTCAGGTGTTTACAAACTTCTTTGTGACGAATGCCACGCCGTTTACGTGGGTCGGACTGGTCGCAATTTCGAGACACGTTATAAAGAGCATTTAGCCGCGTACAGGAATTGCAATCCCGATAAATCCCATTTCGCCAAACATCTTTTGGACACTGGACACAACCTAGTCAATGACCACTCCTTTAAAGTCTGACATACGTGTAATAAAGGGCTGCGACTGTGTGTGCCGGTTGCCGACAGTTAGAGATATTAAAAAGTAATAACAGTACCGTTGCACTGCTGAATGAACAAACAAATGTTACTAACTCACCTCTCTTAAATATCTTTAAGCCTGCTCTCTAATAATAGAGAGCCTCGCAATATGGTCGTTTGTCACCCTCACGGTGAGTGGCGATTGGTTGCGTGGTTGGAGGGTAGGCGGGCGTTGCGCGGCGGTTTGTTTTAATTTTACAAACGGCTGCGTAAGTCCAGCGGTGATTGGTCGCATGTTTTATCGCATGACGCGGTCACTCGCTCCTTAAGTAGAGAGCGGTTGTGTCATCGGTCTGTATAAAAGGCAGTTGTTTTGGCTCGCCACTCATTTAGCGGTTAGCCACCGTAGACTTTATATCACCTGAGGATGCCTCGTGTAGAGGCGAAACACGTGTCGTATTGTCGTCAGTGGTGTGTCTTGCCTAGTGTAGTGGTGTTGGGAGTAGTGGTGCTGGGATTAGTGGTGACGGGGATAGTGCACGCAATTGAGGGAGGGCGGTAGGTGCTCTTCATACTAGGTAAGACACATCATTTTATTTTATAACACGGATATTTGCGAAGAAAATTTTTCTAAAAGCTTTTATAAACTGGATCTCCGCAAAGTAACGCCTGATTCTATTAATTATAAAATATCTGCGTCAAACAACAGCATGCTGTTCTACTCTGTATAGGGTTTAGAGAATAGGAATACGTTTACTGTCTACTAGGCCTTCTACTTCAGTCCTCAGTGGTGACTACTCATCTACATTTTGCTTCTCACTCAAATATAGGTGTATATGGGCCACAGTATCCACTTATAACATCAGGCGGACTGTGTGCTCGTTTGTCGCAATTACTTTTACGAGCACGACTACGAATGTCTTGTTAGTTTAGTGGTCGTAAACGGGATTGCATACAATGAGGTCCCGGGTCCGAATCCCGGGTCGGGCCTAAACAGTTATTGCGTTTTTTTGTTAAAAAATTCTCGATAGCAGTCAGGAGTCAGGAAGTTGGCGGTATTTAACCTTATGCCTCGGAAAGCACGTAAAGCCCATGACTAGATAAACGGAAGCCGTAGGTCCTGCGCCTGATCTCTCTCCGGTCGTGTCAGATATCCGTCCCGTTGGACTATGAGAATGACGGAATAGAGAGTGCATCTGTGCTTGCGCATACACTCGTGCACTATATTCCTGTCCTGCGTAGACGGCCAGTCTCCGTTAAGAGTAGACGTTATCGAAATTCGGTCTGGAGGACATTATCATATATACATAAATTTCTATATATCATATATAGAAATTTTCCAAATAATATTTTACTCTTTATGAGTAGCTTGCACAATTCATAAAGGGTCAGTGATTATGATATTCCGCACTTCCCGAGTCCGAAAACCATCAGGGTATTTTCATCAACCATATTTGCAACATCAATATTTATCTGAGAAAAAACACTGCGTATTTAAAGTCTGGATGTGTGTTAATCGTGACTATCCCCGTGTCTCTTACGCCTATATCCGGAATCCGGATACCGAACCCAGCTTCGATCTATTACAGCCTATAAAAGTCCATTGCCGAACATAGCCCCACCAATAGATTACCTCATAGGGAGGATTTTGGCAGTTTTTTATTTGTTAGTCTGGATAGGCACCACCAAACAATAGTGCTTGGACTGCTGTTCTGGTTTGAAGTGTATAGAGAGGCACGGAGGCATTTCATTTTATGCTATGCTTAGAGGTGAGAGCGCATCTGTAGTCTTCTTTGTTTGAAGTTGGCTGCAGGTTCATGGTTCGTTTGTCACTTAGTTTATTAAAAAAAACATTAGCTACTACCACAAATACTTTTTATCACTATTACGTGATTATATTGCTTCTTCATAAACTTGCTATTTTTCAACAGACACCGACAGTAACAATACTCCAGCTACTACAGCTGCTAATGCTGCTACTGGTGCTGCTGCTGCGAGTGAAGCAACAACATCGCCTCCAGCATAAACATTAATAAATATAAACAATAATAAATGTATATAAATTCTATTGTCGAAATTTTTCGTAATTACCATGAGATTACGCGTAATAACGTTTATCTAGACATATTCAATAATAATAACTACTGTCGAAATTTTTCGTAATTATCATGAGATTACGCGTAATAACGTTTATCTAGACATATTCAATAATAATAATAATAATAACTACTGTCGAAATTTTTCGTAATTACAATGAGATTACGCGTAATAACATTTATCTTGACATATTCAATAATAATATTGTTTTCCTCAGTATTTATTGCATGTTTATTACATGTTTACTCTTTGCTACGGCTAAGTATTTACTGCAGTGTACAATCTTTTGAATTTGTTTAGATTCAACATCAACTTACACTAGCGGCCAGACGCGGGGACCCGCGTCTTTGCCCGCGTGGATTTTATTACGATTGGGTTTCATGGGTTTTAAGTTTTTTTTGCGCAATTCTTTTTCTAAAATAAAGTAGTCTAAGTTACCCCATATAACATCAGCAATCTGCCAGTGAAAGTCCCGTCAAAATAGGTCCGTTTCGGCGATTAGCCGCAAAACAGACAGTCACACAAACAGATAAAAAATTTTATAATTGTTTTTGTTATATGCATTTAGTAAAAAACTGTTATGTTGACACTACAATTTTATTTATTTGTAAGTATAGATAAAAACTACTGGCTAATAAATAAAGTTCCTAATCAATTAGAATTTTATCATTTTGACTCCTAAGTTAAAATAAGTATACTGGGAGTAGTATATTACTTATAAGTGTTGCCTCACTTTATACTACCACTTCCATATACCAACATGCCATAACGGCCTGTAAAAGTCCACTGCCGAACAAAAGCTTCCACCATAAATTGCCTCATAGGGGGAATTCACTACAGTTGCCATGTTTGGCAGGCGGGTCGGTAACCATGTAGTGGCAGAGTAGAAATATCCACTACTCCATATTGCATAGTGTACGAGGCGACAGAAGGAAACTGGAACAGGTGATGGGCAGCAGTGTTTTCCTGATAACTAAAAATAATAAAAAAACTGCGGAAGCACTCCTATCAGAAGCATTTTTAGCTCACCTGGAGGAGTTAGCAAGACGTCGAGAATAGTAATAGGTAATGTAAAAATATAGATATAAAATATACATCGTGAAGAAACCTGCATGCCCGTGGAATAAAACATTTCGAGAATATGTGAGTCCGTCTTAGAGCGACGCTGCAGCTATATCATGGTTGTAGCATGAATGGGTCGGCTCGACCGGGCTCTCACAGAATACCTGCGTGAAACAGCAGCTTAATGCTGCTGTGACCCTTTTTACTGGAAACGAGGCATTTAATCACTCCTCGGGAATTTTCATCATCAGCATTTTGATCCTTGATCGAGGATAACTTGGAGGATGTCTATAGGTCACAGCATCCACTTACCATCGGGTGGACTGTGTGTTCGTTTGCCACCCTTATTTTATAATTTAAATAAAACAGTAGGCTGTGTATAAGGTGTAACTTCACGTTTAAAATCTAAATTGGATTAAATAAAACCAGCTCGTAACATTATGGAATTGGAATTATTTATTAAAATATTATTTACAAGAATATTTAAAAACTGATATAACACGGCTCTTATTAACTTATGGCAATACAGTAGAATATCTACCCTATACGCTGGTTGTCTAAAGTCCGAGTTTGTGTAACGGAGATTGATATACAAATAATATGTCGGACATTCTATTTTCAAGTAAATTTAATGATCATAGTGGAGTAGTAAACTGATTTGCATTTAATGAGAGCATCCATGACTTTTTCTGCCACCGGGGCAGCGACACTTAGGAATGAAGTGAAACTGATAGATTTCATAGTAGGGATAGTTAATTTCTTAGAAAAGTTTAGAAATTAATGTTTCTTTCTGAAGTATTAGTTATATTTTATAAATTGATAATAATTAGATTAGAAATGGATAACTCATACTGAGGATATTCCTAAAAGTAGAAAAATTAAAAAAAAAATTGTTGCATGTCTTTGACTAAAGGCATCGATCGAAACCATTTTTGCCTGATGTTCGCAGTCAAGGGGATTTGACCGGTTATGAGTTTTGACTGTAATATATATATATATATATATATATATATATATATATATATATATATATATATATATATATATATATATATATATATATATATACACTAGAAAAAAAAAAGTTATAATTAAACTTCAACTTTTCAATGATGATGACACTGTGTGATTAACCAGCGTTAATCAGCGTAACACATAAGTTCACCTTAGTCGCAACTAGTGACATCTGGTATGAATAAGATTATTAGCCCTCCTTGCTAAAATAGAAAATAAATAAAAATATATTCTTTATAGGGACTAGCAAAACTTGGTCAGTCTCCGCCACACAAGCCCGCAGATCACACAATAGCACTCACCACACTCACACCGCACTCTGCATTGGGACAGGCAGTGCTTATAAAATTGATTTGCTATAAAAAACATACGTCATTTTCATGAATCGTCCGACTACAACACCGTATATCATCGCCACACGACGTGACGAGGAGAATTACACAAAAATT